GGTCACGTTTCTTTGGAATAGGGACAAACATGGATCGCTTCCAGAGAGTTGGTCATAGAGCTGTCTTCCAGATTTCTTGGCATAGACAAGTTCTTGTTGAAACACTTTCATTACATTGCATCAATCCCAGGGCGTTGCTTTCCTAATGCCTTCAGTGCACTTTGTACTTCTTCCTTCAATGCCTTTGGTTCTTGCTCATAGGCTATCTCCTGAAGTGGTTGGATATCAACTTGTAGTTTCTGTACGGTGACTGTGTGTCCTTTCCATCTTCTTTTGATGCTTCCTGCATCGTTCAATATTTTGTCCCTCTAAGCTTTGCATGGCTATCACAGGTTGAGGCTTGGATCTTTTCCTTCAGTTCTTTCCATTAAGATTTGCTTAGTGTGTTCTCCCTTTCTAGGTTTCTAACACTAGGCGTTTGCACATTTCACTATCGTATTTGACTTTGTCTTCTTGAGCTGCCCTTAGAAATTTTCTGTTCAGCTCTTTGACTTCATCATTTCTTGCATATGCCTTATCTACTCTGTGATTAAAAGCAAGGTTCGGTCTCTTCTGACATCCACTTGGCTCTTTTCTTTCTTTCTTATCCTTTTAGTGGCCTTTTGTTTTCTTCATGTAGGATGCTCTTGAAGCCATCCTAAAGCTCATTGGGTCTTAATCACATCTGTTCTGCAAATTCAGATGAGACGGACGCAAGGCCATATTTCAGCTCTGGTTGACATGTTTTCATTTTCTCCATCTTCAAGCTGACCTGACATATCATCAATTGATGGTCTGTTCTACGTCAGCTTCTGACCTTGTTTTAGCTGCTGATATCGAATTTCTTTATCATCTCTTCCCACAGATGTAGTCAATTGAGTTTCTGTGGATTCCATCTGGAGAAGACCACGTGTATAGACATTATGTTGTTGAAAAAAGGCATTTGTGATGAAGAAGTCGTTGGTCATACAAAGTTATATCCTGTGACCTCCAGCTTTGCTTCTGTCACCAAAGTCCTATTTTCCAATCACCTGTCTGTCAGCTGGTCAGACTGCGGTGGCTTGTGTGTTGCTGTGATCCTGGAAGCTCTGTCACTGGTATTCAAATGCCAGCAGAGTCACCCAGAGTGAACAGGTTTCACGAGACCTTCCAGACTAAGAGCAGGTGATGAGAAGGAATAGGCTGATGACTTCTGAGGAAATCGCTCCTGAAAACCTATGAATAACCTATCATAGCGAACAAGGTCGAAGACACAATTCTTGCTAATTGAAAAAAGCAATACTTAGTAAGCATCAACTATATGGCTGGAAGAGGTGTCCCTGTGTGGTGAAACAGTTAATACACCTGACTGTTGACCTAAAGGTGGGAAGTTTGAGTCTACATAGAGGAGCATTAGAAGAAAGACCTGATGATCTACTTCGGGAAAATCCCTCTGGAGCACAGTCCAATTCTGACACACAGAGCCCTTCCATGGATCAGAATGGACTCGATTGGCCACGGTTTTCAACACAAGGGAGGCCTGAAACCAGGAATACAAACCATTGGAATGGGGGCATATAGCAGAGAAAGGTCATTCAAAGAAATACCGGTTTCCATTGAGTTGATTCAGTGAAAACAAGCAAACAGATAAACAAACTCACTGCCATCAAGTGGATTCTGACTCATAGGGACCCTATCAAGAGAGGTTTTAGGGGAGCAGACAGCCTCTTTTTTTCTCCCAAGGAGCAGCTGGTGGATTTGAATCACTGACCTAGATGTTGTCAGCCTGATGCCTAAGCCACAGGGCCACCAGGGCTCCTGACTCAAAGAACAGCAGATTTTGACTTAGGAGTGTGCTCTCTTTTGTCTGGATTGAGTGGTAAGAACTTGAGACTCCTGGTCTGGGTGAAGCCTGTGCCCAAGTTCTTGTATTTTCATTCCCTAACTACTGCTCAAATGTCCTCCCCCCTCTGCCTCTCCAAACTCATAAAGTGGATTCTAAAGCTCATGGGTGGAGAGAGAGACAGTGACTCTTCTTCTCAGGGTCTCCCTCCCATCTCGCTAACTACAGGCAGGTGGGACCAGCTCCTGGAGGGGCTGACCTTGGTTAGACCATTGTGAATCACCCACTGAGTTTCCAAGATGCCTCTGAAGAGTCAAATACATCTCAACCATTAGACTAGACACACATTGAGGGCCATGAAATGAGGGGGTGAAACTTAACAGTCCTTCCAGGTTTTTTCCCCTCTGGTTTTTGACATCTATCCACTGTACTCACTCAATGTTCCAAGAGTGTCAAAGGAGTTTAATTGCAAGAAGGGAATGAAAAGAAGCTTTCTATGTGTTGGGGGAAAAGGAGGAGGATTGCCTAAAAACATGAACCAACTTCATACAGCTAGTACATCTGCAATCACTTGCACGGTTTGTCGAGTCCGATGAGCTGGGTCCCCAGTTGGTGCTGCCTGAGTTGGGTGCCGGCTCTCAGAAGTGTGGGAGAGGGTGTAGGCGAGGGGGAGGGACTGGGATGGCATGCTCCCGGCAGGACATGGCAGACACCGGGGGTCTGGGGTAGGATGAAGTGTAGGTGCTCTCCCTGGGGCCAGCCTTGGGTTCTTGACACCTCTGCTTGAGCTGCTCACACAGTCCATAGTTGGTAGGGGGAGCTGCCAGGGAAAGCAGGGAAAATCAGGTCAGAGAAGAAGAGTACTATGCTGGCAGGCAAGGACAAGGGTAACCTGAGACCCTGGGGGTTTTCCCAGTGAGGTAGTTAGTTTATTGTGCCCATCTGGCCGATAAACCATGTGGGGTTAATTGAAGGGCGGAGGGATACATGGTTTGGTGAACCTTGCCTTTCTAGTTCTCGGGTCTCTTGCTTCCTGATGGTCAGACCAGGGTGCAGCTGCCTTAATCAGTTCCCTGCTTTAGCTGGAAAGGCCCACTTCCTGCAAGACATCCCTGAGGAGAAGCTACATGGACCTATCCCAATGCAGCCCTGGGTGCTGGAGCAGCCGTGTGGAGACCCCTGCCAGCGCTGAGATGCTTACATGTTCACTGACTTGGCTTTCCTCCTGCAGTCGGC